AAGCAAGCAAGCAAGCAAGCAAGCCTGCTCTCTTTTTGGCTCTTGAATTCTGTCCTAAAACGCTCAGGCATGGGAGCGTAATGAACTGGCATTTGCTGTTCTGTATGAAGAATATAAACTTCCCTTTTGATGTATCAGCAGTAACAGGTACACAGGCATGCACACACACATATGCACACGTGCACACACACCACACACACACACACACACTTGCACACACATTCTAGACCATGAGAATTAAAACTGGATGGATGGCTTTGTTATGCAATCACCTACCCTTATCCTTTTTTTTTTCTTTTTTTTAATCTTAAGGGTCTACTGGGTATTCTGGTTCTCACTACTAGATTGGACTCGCAGTGATCCACCTGTTTACAGCCTCTCAAAAGCTGGGATTACAAGTGCGCGCCACTAAGCCCAGTGTCAGTGGGGGTCTCAGTGCACCCCAGGGGAAGGGCCAGCAGAGCAGGCTCGCAACGAACCCCTAACTCCTGCGCCGGCATGCAGGCGCCTTAATCCGCTGAGCTATTTGGCCGGTCCGCTGTCCATTTTATCTTGTGGATAATCATGAATTCTGGCATTCTGTATTAGTTAAATCAGTATGTATTTATGTGTGATTCTGTCAGTGAACTTTCCACTTCCTATTTATTTGAACTAAAATGAGTGTTTTCTTCACATAAATACATATTTCTAGTGCTGAACTGCTTTGTACAGTTATTCCTTATATTAAAATACACTCTAAATGATTACAGTATTCTTTTCTAGCATGAATTTAAATCCATTATATCTATCTACATATTCTAGACGTAAGATGTCTTAAAAAGCCAGGACTGTTCTGTATAAACACTGCCTATTACAGATATTTAACAAATTGAATGTCTATTGGCTGACAAACAGCAAGACTTCCTACACAGATATGTTCATTATAAGGATGTACAGGTGTGTTTTCTTTTACAACAGCATAAAACAAGGAAGAAATTCACTGTAGAATTCAACACATTATTGCTATCAAAGGGAAAATGATAATTGCTACTTTAGGACTCCTGTTTGACTAACAAAGAACAGAGATCCACACTGCAAAAAGCACACCAGAAAGGTATACAAAAGATTTGCAATAAGGGGCTTCTTTAACGGAAAAACAAGTATTAACTGGGTCTCTAAGTAAATACTACCTGAAACATTTCAATTTCCTTTGTATAATGTTAGAAGTTATTAGAAAAACAACAAAAAGAGTCTTAGGAGCTACTGCTTAAAGCCACTGCCGGACACGCAGTCATACATTTAGTTTTACATAATCATCAGCATCCTGATTTGTCAGCGCAAAATACACTCAGTACTGGTGAATAAAGCATACATTTTCTTGCCTACTTGGCCATTTACAGTCTCTTCAGGACTACTACACATGAAATGTCATATAAATGTTTAAAGTACTAAGAATAATGCATACTAAGAATGAAAGGGATAGAGACAGCAGGCTAACAGGGCTGCTTGGGGAAAGTTTCTGTGCAAATTATTTAAATGGCAGCTACTCCCAGGAGTTGCTCCTGTGGAGGAAGAGGAAAGGGTAAGGGCGCTCCAGCAAGTCGGGGACACTGCAGACAGGACGCCTTGTCTAGAGAGCAATAGGTGACAAGGAAGAACGCAAACCTACAAGCCAGGTGGTCATCGGGAGCATCTGCTCTCAGGCATAAGAAGAGTAACTGACAAACAAGGGGAGCAGTACGCAGGGTATGCAGGTCCCGAACGCAGCCAAACGCATGCCGAATCACTTTAGCAGTGCGACAGCTTCTCTATTAACAACAATTAACAACTCAAGCTTGATCACGGAAATTCCAAAAGTATTTCGATTTCATAGAAGTAGAATTCAAAGCTATCATCACATCACAAGTGTTTATCGGGCTACTGCAGAGCTCACACTTTGCTGAATGAACATGAGTTTTTAAACTCCACCTTTTACAGAAGATTGTTTTCAATCTTCTATACTTTTTCTTACCTGAGTAGTATAAATACAAGTGACACGACCTGTTAATAAATGGCCACAAAATTAATATTTCGAAGAAAAGTAATTTCTGACCAAGAGTAAGATCAGTTACCACTGTGAGAACCTGAAAAGCCAAAGCCATGAATAAGGTTCACAAACCTGAAATCCAGAACTTGGGAGTCTTTGGAGCCTGCATCTGAAGAACCATCTTATTAACAACACAGTGTAGGACAATTGAAGGGGAGATAAACTCATAAATCCAAAGTTGTACAAAAACCCTTCTGCTAGTGAGGCCAGAATGCACCAACACAAAAACGTGTTTGTCAAAATGAGTAAAACCAAAATACCTCCTTCACAATCATCTCCACACTCTGTTGTCCTCATGAAAATGAAAAAGCAAACCAACTCAGAAAGCACGCTGGCAAGCTCTGAGACAGCGATGGGAACCCACTCTGCCCACGTGGCAAAGCGTCTGGCTCCTTGACAGGATGCCGTCTCTGCTTGGGCCTGCAATAGGATTCCTCCCAAGAAATCAAAACTGTTATCAATGCTGTCACTTCCACCCAAATTGGGGCTCTGGTGCAAAAATTCCAAAGGATTATAGTGATACCATTTTCTCCAACAAAGGCTGTGAATACTAGGACAAGAAGAAGGAGAAAGTATCAACATACAAGAGAGAAAATGCAAAATTCTAGAGTACTACATGGCAAAATTATTTTTAAAACGGGAAAAACAAGGTATGGTTCAGTGGTGCAGTGCTTCTGGGGGTGCCTAAGCCCTGGACTCAATCTTCAGCCCAACAAAAGCAAAAGATGTGGACAGGCAGAGAAAAGGACACGGAGAAACGATGCAGCACACTGAAGAGCGTGGAATCAAAGCACAAGGCCAGACCTCGGATCTAGACTCTATCTAACGATACACGAGATCTGGAGCAATGCGCTGAACCTGGCTCAGTGGCCCTTTCTGCAAAGGAAAACAGCAGTATACTTGGCTTCGTTCCTGTGAATACTAAGTAAATAATATTAGTAGCAACTAACTGAATGAATTAGCCAGTGTAAATTTTACAATTAAATCTCTTCCGTGACAAACTGCATTTTGTACTCTTGTGCGAGTTTCAACTCACAACCTGATATTATAGCATCATTTTTCCCAATTTCCCCCATCTCTCTCTCTCTCTCTCTCTCTCTCTCCCTCTCTCTCTCTCTCTCCCTCTCTCTATCTCTATATCTTGCTCTCTCTATCTCTATCTCCCTCTTCCCCCCCCCACCTCTGTTTTATTTAAACAGAATCTCACTGCATAGTTCAGGCCCGTCTTGAATCCTGAACTCACTGTGCAGCCCAGGCAAGCCCTGAGCTCACAGCGCTCCCGCCTAGCCTCCCACGTGCTGGGATTAGAGGTACGCACCAGCATGGCCAAACAGCACCATTCCAACAACCCAGCTTTCTCAGTCATTTACTACGTGCACTTTTTTTTTTCCTTTAAGACATTACTAATATACATTTTAAGCTCATATGTTTTATCTAGCTGTATACCTGGGCCTGCAAGGTTGAGGATCTGGCAGTTTACTATTCAATGTCAATCTTTACTCTGTTCTCACAAATAACAGTCAAACACCAAATCCTAAGGATTCTAAAACACAAATACAATGCATTGAAAGAGCACGCCCTGTATTTTATTAAAGCCCTGGGAGATAAGCGATGTGTTGTAGGCACACATTCATTAATGTAGGCCAGAATATGATAGATTGACTAATACAACCAAGTAATAGATATTGCAGAGATTTGATATCTGCTTATTCTGCAATCTGGAAGACAGTGGATCCACCCTATTCCCTCACCAAGAGGTGAGTGTGCGCAGCCTTTACCCATCATCTGAGCTGTACCTCCTCCCAACTACACAACGCTCTGGGCCCCACCAAAATGGGTTCATCGCATAGCAGCGCTCTGAGGCCCGGCATCTGGGACATCTAGATTTCCTAGTTTGAAGTGCCTGC